GGACGCTGGGAACTAACGCAGTCAGACAGCCCCTGGCAAATGGCGCAATTGAAATACCGATTCTCTGTCTTTGTGGTGCCCCTAGCTGTCTCTACAGAAGATATTTCCTACAGGCAATGTAAAATCGAGTAGATTTTGCGGTTAGGAAATGCTCATTTTTGGACTCGCCCTATCGCAGCTTCTAGGTTGACCCATGTACAGGACAATCTGCTGGATGCATGAGCTGGTGTGCGCTGTCAAATGAATGAAAAGCTGTAGAAATTGATTAACAATACAATCCTAATTCATAGGCTTCACTAGGAAATTGACGCACGGAAGGTACACATGATTACTTAATGTCGGTATCCTGTTCGTATAATCCGTTAGGAAGATTGTACTTAATATGCGGTAATTAGGAGACCCTCCGTAATACATGTGGCCATCCTTTAAATATCAAAAGGTCCTTTTCCCGCGTACTAATATTCTGGAGTTTATCACAAGGTTACCCGGGTTTCGGTGGTCCTGAGTTTCGTGCCCTATGTTCTTGTCTCTATCCCTATAAACATCACCACAGTAATAAAAAACTGCTTTTTGCAATGTTAAACTAAGTGTTTGAGTAAGTCAACTAAACGAAGAAATCTAAACACTAAGCCACAACTAACAAAACAAAATTATAAACAAAGAACGCAACTTAACTGCTAACCAAATTAAAATAAATATTAACCTAAAACGGTATAAGTTGTTTGTTATATAAAGCCAACTATGGAGGTGCTTATAAGCATCAATTACCAAATAATAGAATTGTTTGCTTCCTATCTAGTATTCAACAATATATTTTTCGGCAAGCACGCAATATGCAACACCGCTCAGGCAACAAACTACAGCTGAGCGTGTACAAGGGAACCGATGGTAAACGAAGATTTATTTTTTAGGATACATAGAGGAAAAGGGGGTGCAACCTCACCCTTACACTATCCGTCGTGTTCATTAGGGTAAGCGTTCGTAACTGGGTTCATAGAATCGCAAAACAGTTCGTAAAAAAAAGACACAAGAGTAATCGCAATTTGTAACAAATTTTTTCGTTCGCTCTCACTGCATGCATCGCCTATAAGCAGGTCTTCTTCAAATATGTTCACCTGACTGGCTAACAAAGGAATGAGGCTGCCTGTTTATATTTTCGGAGAGGGTGCTCCTATACCGGATCACGTGCAGACTCGAGACACTTTTAAAACACGGCCCATTCGGTAGGACTATGATCGGAGCATCGACAAACAAATGCGACTGTTACACCTGGGCTCATATGCCTAGTCATAAAGGACTCGTGATTCGATCGGTGCATCGTTTCATATATCTCGTCATTTTCAAAAGCCTATTGTTCCGTATCCTCTTCTGGAGTTCATTCCCGACAGTTTGTTTTGGATGTAGACAACATTTTCTCCGCTTATATGACGAGTAGCCGTCGTTCGCTTTCAAAACACTGCTAACTAGACCCTACGGCATCTGGATTATTAATGTCTCCCTACACATGCAATCTGACATGACATTTCCGTCTTCTGAGTATACAGCATGCGCCAAAAACCGCGTAACCTTTATAACGAAATTTGCCTTGGGGCTTTAACCTATATTTGGTCATTTTATTTTGATTCATTGAGTGGATTTAATTCTGCAAAAACCTTTTAGTTAATAAAATCGCCATTTTAGTTGGGTTTACTAAGAGAAATGGGCACTAAGTTTGGCGAACTTAGGAGTTGACTAATTTCGAAGTAATTTCCGATGCCATTACGTATGACATAACCAAAAGTTTTATTAATGCGGGTTATACTATGTACAAACTCCAAATTAAGTAAAAAAAATGCACGAAAGATATCCCTTCCAGAACTGGAAATCTTTGTCTGAAATTATTCAGGTGCAAGTGAACCCAAATTGAAGGACTCCCATTTATTTTCAGCAGCAAAAAACGATTCATGTTTTAAAAATTATTTTAGCTAATCCGTGAAGTATTTTTGCACAAAACGCAGTAACGAAAAGTTTTCGTAGCAATCTGTTTAAGCGAACAGCTCACCTTAGCGAATAAGAAAAGTGTTCCCATATGTTATCACGTGGGTAATGTAACGAAGGCCTTATTGAATGGAAGTCATGTAAAACTATACTTTTTGTAAATTATACGTTCCGCTTATGCGTTATTTAGAAACAGAACAGACAGAAGAACAAATATTATTTCAAAAAATGGCCAAATATATGTCCACTTTTTTTGCATTCGGAAGCTTATAACAGATCCCGAAAGTTATCTAATATGGCGGAAAATAATCCATTATAAAGAGAAATGTAAGTCCTTTCATTTCAAATCAGATTGAATCGTTTACCATCAGCTAACTTAAATTACTTGGCAAAATCTCCAATTTCATTGTGAAATTAGCTTGCAAAATGTTCATTTGCACAGAAATTCGTCAGCTGAATATCCAATTAAGGCACTTCTAAAGAGGTAAGCTATTGTAGAAAGTTTTCTATTAATCCTAAGAATAACAATATACAAGTTATCTTGCGGACGTTCTGTATGCTCAACAATGCGGTTTGCCATTTTGAGGCATTTATAAATATGATCCATATGGCCATCTTCATAAGAACTAATATCCGAAAACTCATTTTTTCGGTAAATGCTCTTTATGTATACCTTATTTTAAAGGTTTTAATGTACACGTCGAACAGAAGATCAATTGGTGGATGAAAAAATGAAGACATTGAAAACACAGGAAATTATTCTACAATTTCAAGGACGATATTAAACAGATAGTTATCCATTAATGGTAATTTGTACAAAACATTTTGACTAAATAAAAATTATCTTTATACGAGGTAGTGGTTACGTAAATTTTTCAGATTAATAAATTATTCAACATAATTGTTCTAATTTATAGCTATTTTACGTCTCCGGAACTTAGAGATTATCGGAGCAATTTTATTTTTCTTAAAAAGCACTTGATACTTCTTATAACTCTTTTATGTTTTAAATATTCCTACTGCTGTTTATCATTATTCCTTAGTTTTCGTAAATGCATTCACACCGGTATGCAAGTAATGAGTAAACTTTTAAAAAGTTATGAAAGTTGCACGGTGTCTAGCGCATACTGTATATTTACCCTCGCGTACCATCTGTTCCCGTTGTTCACTTTAGGAAGCGAATCCTATCACAACCTAATGCAACAATTCCTTTGTGTGCTTCAGTGTTCTCAACCACGTTGCTTTTTGTAAAATTGTGTAGAGGTCCCACATGCGTTCCCGTCTGCACGTCTGATACAGTCTGTGAACATTTGATTGAAACACCACACTTTTGGCCTCTCTGCCTTAAAATCGGCACTTTCTGGCGACCCACGCCTAACCGAACATTTATCGAAGAATGGCAGGTACCCGTGTATGTCCTGGAAATAGTAAC